AGGGCTGGAGAAGGAGCGAGGCGGGCCAGTTATTCTCAACCCTACTGCTTTATTCAATAGTCGCTCGTCCTACACAAGTACAAACACAACATGGCCCAAAAGGCTACAAAGTTATACAAAACAAAAAATCTTTATAGTATTGACTGTACAACAGGTGGTAAGTTCTTTGCCTTTCCCTATGTGAACCCCAGTTAATCCAGATAGCATCGCGGCCTCGAGCCTCCCTCTCTGCCTTGCAGTTTCCAGGGGTTGACACTCAGTCGCTAATTGTGATTTGCAGAAGCAGAAGCACTCACACCGTTTCGCTGGGGGGTTGCGTAGGAAGTTTTTACCAAAACCCTTCAAGAAAAGGTGAACAAAATCACTGATGGGGGCAGCTACAAAGCAGTTCTTAAGATTTCCAGCTTCTTTTCTAAAGTATCATGTTCAGTGGGCTGGACCGTTGTTTCTGTGGTGATCACCTGGTATATGTGTCACAGAAGAGCTTAATCTGCAGAAAGAGCTTACTCTGCAGAAACTAATAATCTGTTTGGGAACTGGAATAAAGCGACAACTCGGTATTTAAGTCTCAGGCAGATCTGGACTCCAGCTGCTCTGAAAAATCCTGTGCTGGCACCTAGAGATCAAGTTAAATGCCCTCCTGTCCTATTACACAGGGTTTCTGAAATAGCTCAAGATTTACATGCTCGTCTGTACAGCGTGCTAAGCGTTTAGAAATCACCAAGCAGCAGCCTGCTAACTGGAGAAAGAGAGGCTGTAACATCTTTCCTTCTGTTTATCTGGAAAAGACGTTTTTGCAGCCTTTAAAAATCAAAGCCATTTTTAAATAATTTCAATTCAATGCCAGGAAACTAGAAGCCCCACAGCAAAGGCTGTCTACTGGCCAGGAACTGTTGCTCTCTCCTCCTAGGTTGCCTTCACTGCCAGGATTATCTCTCTCTCTCTCTCTCTCACTCCTCCTCACCCAAACCCATTATAAAAAAAAGGTACAATATTTAGTCTGATGGGATTTAAGTTAAAAAATAAAAAGCTGTCCAGTCTTTTTGCTTTATCGCGAGGAGTTTGAGCTGGAGCGGCTGCGATGGCGCCTTCGTCCAGGAGATCTGGATCTTGATCGCCGGCGAACAGGGGATCTGCGCCTAGGAGACCGGGACCTGACAGAGGAGGAGAAAGCATTCATTAGGGAGACAAGGACAGCAGGTTCCATTCATTTGTCATCAACTTTTCAAAAGCACTTTCCTGCTCCCCCCAAAAAACCCACACACACCACGGTAAAAGAGCTGCAGTGAAATACAGCCAGCTCCAGAGAGGGAAAAGGCAATTCAAACACTGACTACACAGCAGGAGTATTCTGGCTACCCTCCCTCTGCTTCAGGAACTTGAAAGAATGTGTAATATCCAAAGAACAGACAAGAATCTTGCCTTGTTTCTCAAGCAAAATGAGCTCAAGTTCACTCTACATAATTTCTCCTTCACCTGGAAGGTCAGCTTGGAGTCCTGCAATGCAGTGATATTCAGGGGGAGGATTTACATGAGCCCTTTCAAATCACAGGGACCTTTCTTAGAGGAAGTCTAACTCTAAAGAAATAGTTAAGCTTCAAGCTCTTCTGTACTACAATCAATCTGTACAGCCATCAGTATGACACCAAGGTTCCAGGCACAGAATATTAACAGAGCCTGAACAGGTTAATAAAAGTTAGACTAGGGAAGAAAGCAAACAACGAGGGATCCACCAAATTTAGTGTCTGCCAGACCTTGGTAAAAGGCTAAAGGAGGACCAACAGGCAGCGGACCTTGTGCCATGCTGACCAGATGTCAATTTTTGTAAGTTTGTAAGCCATTCGGCAATAAAGTGGCTCAAACAAGAGCTGCTTTTACTAGTGACGAGAGTTTAAGCAGATATCCAAGACAGAGGAGCCCATCCAATGCTGAGGTAGACTCCAAAAGACTTATCTGAGCACGTTCAGGCAACCCTGAGTCACACAACGGGTGTGTGCATGTCAGGTCCCATCTTGGGGTCAGCTGCAGAACGGCTGCTTTTTGGTCATGTGCCTGTTCACAGAAATAAGGGAGGGAGGTGCAAGGGCTTCAGAAAGCAAGCGGCTGGAGCAGGCTGCCAAAAGCATTCTGCCAGCCAGAAGTCCATTCCCACTTCACCTCAAAGCATTTATGCAGAAGGGACTCCAGGGAACAGCTGGAAAGCATCTAACGTTTCCAACACTGCGTTCAGGGTGTAGACCAGAGCAGGTCACCCTGGTGCTGAGGACTGAAGAAGTACAATCCAGGCTCGACTGATGCCAAAAGGTGCTACTGTCATTTGGAGGGGAAAGTCAAGTCCAACAGGATGGAACCGTCCCCATGCCGAGTCTTTCAGCAGTAACATGTTACACTGAGAAGGAAATGCAAGTTGTCACAGCTCTCACCTTCTCCTCATGCGAGGGGGTGACCTGCGCCACATTGGTGGTGGCGGCAGCATCCTCCTGGGCGGGCTAAAGCGCCTGGGAGGCGGCCGAGGTCGTGGTGCCAGCACAGCTGTGGCAGTGATCTCCTGACCATCGATCTGGCCTTTTTAGGGAATCACAGAAACAGGAAGAAGTAAGTATTTTCCAACACTAACATCTACACATCACATTACTGCAACTCACAGCCTGCTCACAAGCAACTTAGGCATGAATCAGCTCACAGTCTTATTTCCATACCCGCTCAGTGGTTATTTTGACAAACTCCACAGACGTACTGGACTTCTTAATCTAATATTCCATAAAATTGCAGTTCACATGTTAACCGGGCAAAATTTTCGCAGAAACGTAAAGAATTCTATTACTGTTTGTTTTGAAAAACCTCAGTTTTAATAGTTCTCTGATGTTTTGGATCTGTCCTGAACCACACAAAAGCCACAGCCGTTTGGGCTGAAAACAGACAGTATTTCAGATCGGTTCCCAAAGGCTTCCCCATCACCTCTAACTCATTTTCAGATCAAACTCGATCTGCTCCAAAGATTTTTACAAGCACCCAGCCTGCTGGCAGAATTTGATACCTACCTCCATCCATGTGTTTCAGGGCTTTCTCAGCATCATCTGGGTTCTCAAACTCCACATAAGCATAACCTTTAGAGAGGTGTGGATTTAGCCTGTCAACTGGCATGTCAATCATTTTAATCTTTCCGTAAGTGGAAAAAATTTCCATGATGTGGTCCTGCAGAGAAACAGCGAATCTTAAGGACATAGGGCACACTTACTGACCAGGTCTGGAGGGCACAGAGCAGTAAACCCAAGCTGTACACAGCACTAGATCAGCTTTAAATCAATGCCGCCATCAGCAAGAGACAGATTTCATTGGCCAGATGTGGAAAGGATCACCACTGCTTTCTCTACTGTTGCCTATTCAGTTCCTCCTCAGCTTGTTCCAAACTTTCAGTTCCAGCAGCATTACTGCTACAAAACCACAACTAGTGTAAAAATCCTCCTGAGTACCTGAAAAGGGAACTTATGCCCTCAACTGAAAACTGTTAATATTTTTTAAAAACACATCATTTTTTCAGCACCCTAAACCTCTGAAGACCTTTAAACTACATTCTAGCAAAGACAACTCAAGCCAGCCCAGCTCTCTTCAGATCCTTTATCAAGGACCTCCAGATATCCTTAATGCCTCCAAGGTCATTTCAGCTATTGTCCCAACTTCTACAGTTTTCTTCCTAGTAAGACAAGATACAAGGTCTGGGATACCGACAAAGCAGACAGACTTCTTAAGTACTACAGTCTCAAAAGCCCACACTGTATCTGACTCAGTAAAATTCTACCAAAATTTTCCTCACTGATCAATTCGGACACAAACCAAGAATTTCCAACAGCAGTACTTTGGCAGCACTCTAGCAACAACAAAGTTTTGAGAGCTTTCAGAGAGCCACGCGTCCTCACAGAAGATAGGCAAGCTTGGTATTGCAGGGGAGTGCACCATTACCTTGGTCACGTTTCTAGTGAGCCTTCCAACATGCACTTTTGTAGGTCTGGGTGATGGGCTCCGCCTCTTCCGCTCCTTTTCATCTCTCTTGGGTGGCTTGGACCTGATTTTGACAACAGAAAACATTTAGGGTTTTCAGGGAGCATGCAAGACGAAACCAAGAAGCCAGTCATTATCACATGATAAAGTACCACCATTTTTCTTGGGAGGGCATCTTTTTTCTTAAGAAGTTACGGGTTAGAAAGTGCTGGGGTGGTGGTGGGGGTGTTCCACTTAGAAACACTTCAGGACTTGCATTTGCCTTGTCTGCTTTTGCTTTAGAACCTTCTGGAACTTTAGAGCCTTTTTTGGTGAGTTTTCAACTTTACTGCAACTAGGGTAACAAACACAAAATTTAGCAAATGTTTCTTCAAATCTGTTGGCCACAGTTGAAGAATTTCCCAGTTGTTAAAATAAGAAACATTCTTCACCTCAACAATTAAAGAGGCAAAATGAGGACATCAACATCAAAGCATACCACAACCAGGCAAATTAATGAATTCGATGTTTCGTGTTTCTGTATCTTCCGTTCACTACAGAGGTCCAGAAACATCACAGTTAAAAAAACCTATTTAAGTAGCTGCCTATCACAGCTTTGTAGTTTAAAAAAAAAAATGATAATCTGGAATGTAATTTTAATCTGTAAAAAATTCAGTATGCAGAAAATTTATATTTATGCTTCTTCCTCATCTTACTGCCCATAAATTGAGTGATATACTAAAAAAACACACTGGCTTCTAATACTTCACTAGATTTTATCAGCCTTCAGCACCTTACCTACAGAATTATCCAAAGGAAAAACTGTATGGACATTAACATAGTTTGATTCCTACCCTTACAGGGAAATTATTCCCTTGCCCCCCCTTCCATTTTATTTTTTTATATGTAAGAGTATACATATACACGTATACACTATTTTCAGCCCTGACTTTTCTATTAGCCTTGGCTGTAATTTACAGGAACTGAAGAGCTTTACTCTCATCTAGTGCCCATACAGTCCCATGCTATTAGGGAAACATTGATTAAAACTGCCTCTACAAAACATAGTATTTAAAATTACTCTTTAAAATGAGATTTTTAATCTCTCTTCCTACAGGGTATGTGTCTTGATTGTAAGCAAAAGAAGCACACCCATTCTAACGAAATTCAGATCTCTAAGTTAGGGAGAAAGCAAATGGTCCTCAGAAAAAAACCAACTCTGATCACAGTCTTGTATTCTACATGGATATTAACCTGCTATCTGGCAATTCCTAGAAGGCAAACAAAACTCACTTGGAGCGAGAGCGTCTCCTGTTGTCATGTCTCCGTCGAGAGGGACTTGGAGATCCAGAGGAGCTGCTGGAACTGGAACTGCGTGAGGTGCTGGAGCTCCCGGAGCGGCTTGAGGCAGAAGAGGAGCTAGAGCCACTGCTAGAACCAGTGCTGGAACTGGACCCTGAACTGGAAGTTGAGCTGGAACGGGATCTGTTGGGGAAGGGCATGAATAAAAATAGGTGGAGTGAATGGCTGAAAAACTTCTGATAATTAAGGAGAGCGCAACTGTGAGTTAGAACAATGAAAACTGACGCTCCATAGCTCACTAGACAGCCCAAGGAAATTCATACCTAAAAAAATAAAACCCTTAAGTTAGACAAAACTGCACTGTGACTAACACAACGCAAGCTTTCACAAGTCCATGACACAGGGAATGAACCGTACCAGAAATCAAGCTGGTCGTTTCTGAAAACACTGTAATTTGTTACTGCCTGCAAAAGTAACTACCTGGTACTGCTGCTCCCACTGGAAGCACTGCGTCTTTTGCGTGTCTTGTCTCGACCACGATCCTTTTCACCCGATTCCTTAGTGGCTGCTTTATCCTTGGACCGGTCCTTTGATTTCTCTTCAGACCTATCCTTGCGCTTGGTTGGTGAGGGAGCCCTTGAAGAACAAATTGCAGAAGACATTGTTTAATATAGAAAAACACAAACAACAAAAACCCCACACCCAAGCAAAGAACAAAACAGCAACACAAAACACTGAACTGCAAATGTAACTCAAGATCACCATAAATGCAGAGTTAAAGCATTAGGCAAGTTTGGACTTTTTTAGAAAAAGGAAAATAGTTTACATTACAGAGCAGCTTTGAGGAAGACAGCTATAGCATACAGAAATTCACACAGAAAGCGGTACATTTCCAATTCCTCACCCTCACTGGGAGAGCCCTAGTACCCTATAACATCCCCACTTTTGTTAAGCCTAGAAAATTCGGACAGAATGATTACCTAGTGTTGGATTTTTTATTATTTTCTTTGAGTCCTAGCAAACTCTTCTTTTTCAATCCTGATAACTCCATTTCCCCTTCGGAGGCGTCCAAAGCAGCACCGAATGGGCCTCACTTATCTCAAATCTCACTTCTAACTCCTCGATTCTGAGAACCGATCCCTAATCGAGTGCAATAAACTCCAAAGAACAGCCTAGTGACAAGATAAAAGGGTTTAGAAACAAGAAATTAACAGATAGGCATAAAACAACAAACCCGCTTTGCAACAATGGCAGCACACTGGGCATCAACTGGCTTCTACAGAATACTTCAGTTCCACGTACACGGCCCTTAACAGCCAGCCTCTGTGCCTGCTCACATCGGCACTGTCCGCCTCATGTAAAAGTCTGCATCCATGTTTAAAGCTATCATTTTGACATTCACAAAAGTACAGAGGACCTTAATTATTCAACCAAAAAAACATCAGACAGAGGACAACCATTTTCTCTGCAAGATGTACGTGCAGCTCATGCCTTTTGACAACAGCCTTGTCTCCAGGAGATTAAGCACTGGTTTTGTCCAAAGCCAATTTGTGACATATAGCATATATTTGTCAGGAAGAAAGAGGTGTTGAGAACAAGCCCCACACTGAAATATGACTGATTTCAGCCTCAAGCTGCTTCCAAAGCTCTGCCAGCCTTGGAAAGACCAGATTAAAGGGCCCAGTTTGCTGCACTGCTGCAACAGCAGATTCTACTTTAACTTCTTAGCAGAAAGTCTAAACTGGATTCTGACCTCGTCTAGCCCAAATCAGTTCCCTCTTTACACTAGATCCAAAGAAGACAAATTTAACACCCCACTATTTAACACTGAAATACTGGGCATTAGTTGAATTCCAGAAGTTTCCCATGAGAAGGCTGCATCCATCACATATTCTGTGATGTTTAAACGCATTGCTGCATTTTGACTATTCCACATGGATTGCTTAACAGCATTACAGAGCTGCCTCCAATGTATGTTTAAATAACCACTAGAAGAGTGTGGCAGATTTGATTTGGTGTAACACCCATTATCTACCTGTGAATGAAACATTCGGGAAATGGAAGAGTGGGCACAAGCATGTCTGAACTGCCAGGCTTATCTGAAGTGGCACTGAATATTCGCAGTACTGCATGACGTTGGAAACGTCTCCATCTCCACATGCATCACAGGCAAAATTAGTTAGCAAGAAAAAAATCTGTCCAGCCCAACAGTCTTGTTGCTTCTATGCATTTGGCGTCAGGTTCTGATAAGCAATTTATTCTCTAAATTGCCATTAAATTTATGTTTGGGAAGAGATCACTTCTGAACAGCTGAGCTCGCTTTCCTGATTTTCTGCCTCAGTTTTCCCTAATACATCTACTCCAAAACCCAACACAAACGAACATTCACAAACACAGCTCTCTGCAGATCCAGAAGTCAGGAAACACTCATGCCTGTTTGCATGGAGAACAGGAAACCCACCACACAAGTGTGACACTGGCAGGGCTTGTTGGGAGAAGAAATATCTTCTCTAACACCAGTGGCAGTAAGAAGGCAGTCCATAGGTGCTGCAAAGGTGACTAAGGAAAGCCAACCTGTGTACGTCATTCAGCTGTGTGACATTTCTAACTAGCTCTATGCCTCTAGTGCAAAGTGTGAGGGGTTGCAGTTCAAAAATTGAAAGCCACTGCCTGAGACCAGCTGATTCACTTGGAAGAACAGAACACACAAGTTTCTGGCCTCACAAGACCAAAAAACTTGACATTTTCCTTTCCCACCTTCCTTCTCCTAAACCTACCGTAGTCAGGTTTGTGTTATCTCTTCCTACACACCGGCTTCTCTTGCATCTGTGAACTATCACAGTGATGATGCTATCAGCTCAGCCATGCAAAACTATCTATTATTGCCTGATAGCTGGCTCTGGTTTAACCCGTACTGGAAGGAAGGAAGGGAGAGAGCCCAGATGAAGACCAGCACACACTCTGCCGTTATCCAGCCTGCTGCTGGAGTAGTAGGTAATACTTCAGTTAAACAGCTACCACTCTGGCACCACTCCTCAGGACAGGCACTTACTAGACAAATTAGCCACATGATGTTCATACATCCCGCAAGCTTCCATAAGATGGTACACGCACCATTTAAGCAGCCTCCAAACTAACCAGCGCTTTCTGTCCATCAAAACATATGTACCATTCTCCAGAATGCCACTTGCCTAGCTTACTTCAGCTGGAAACCTCAGCCTAAGAGACATGGCCTGTATGTGTTCAGACATTCACTGGAAGACGTGGAAAGGAGAAAAATCACGGTCCTCACACGAGAGTGTATAACAACGCATTTCTAAGCGACACGCTTCTTTCCTACAATCAAAAAACCTCTCAATCCCTAACGAGTCAGTGTTTTGGCAGCACCCACCCCAAACCAGAAAGCCTAAGAGCAATCTACACAGGCTAAATATTCATTTCACACACACACACCTCTCTGCTTTAAAGAGTTGATTTGCACTCCTAGAGAGCTGCAATTCTGTAGCAAAGGAAGCAAACTCAGCTCTCCCCCGGACTTCCCGCACGACTACAGGCAAGTCCTTTAATGGCAGTTTGCTTCAGATCCTCATTTGTAAAATGGGGAAAAGATTTCCTCGTGTGAGGAGAGGGTTCAACGCTCGGCAGTTCTTTGCAAAGTTACGGCCGCTCGCCCAAGCTAACTACAGCGAGCAGGGCCGGAGGAGCGCAGGGGCAGCCAGCTCCGCGTCCCGGTTCGCACGCCATGGGGTACGTTACGGCGCCGGGCGGACCGAGGGCTTGTCGCTGCTGACCGCACCGTACGTGTTGCCATACTATGAGCGAAGCCAAGGCGCGGGCTGAGGAACAGGGAGAGAAAAGCACAGACCAAGCACAGAGTCGGTTCAGAGCAGAGCCCGCACCCCGGGGCCC